GTAACACCCGAGATTATTCCGCTGCAATTGTATGAACAATATGATTAGGCAAAACGTATAGGGTAGGGTGTTACAGTTGTCGTCTACCGCTATCGGAAGAAAATAGGTTAAACCTGTAACTGGATAACCAGTTATTGGTTAACAACTGGTAACCCACCTGTACCAGATAAAATTTTATTTTCTCCCTTCTCCCTCCTCGCGTTCGTCTGCATCTCTTGGGTATTCGAGTAGTCGACGGCAGCGGGAGCGCGTATGGAGCAAGAAACATACCGAATGCAGATCCCGCGTACACATCGCACTTCCTCATACTAGGTGGCTGCTTTGTGTCAGTAGTTCTAATTTTCATCGGCATAGCCTCGGGAATCAGTTAAATCCTCTTTGCAGCGTTCACCCCCCACCACCACCACCACCACCGGAGAAGAACTTGTTTCTCCACCAGTAGTGACGATTCTGGAATTAAGCGACTCACCGGAGAGTTCGATTTGAGCCGAAGAGTTCGAGCGTCGGATGGTGGTTACAAGATTTCTCTCCCTCCTATCTTCTATCACTTTGACACTTTCCTCGATGTGACCCGTTCAGAATTGTTGCCGCTGCGGTGCTGCTTGCATGCAACGCTCATATCACTCGTTGTCATCATAAGACCTCGTATAAGACAATTTTGGCATCATTGGTTGCGGCGGCTTACGGATCTGGCAAACATTCCATGAAGATGATATGATCCCACATGGATCATTATATGATTCAGAATTGCATGTCCTTGAAGCTAACCCAACTCATTTGAACAATCTGGATTTTTGGCTAAGTATATTGACGATTTTAGTGGGGCTTGATTCTTTCAATTTAGTCTATGGAAATGTGAGTTTGGGAGCTTGTTTTGAAGCTGGAGTTCTCATGTACAAGCTGGGGTGCCTGGATGCTCGAGGAGAAACCCAGAAGACAAATTTCAAGGCTCGACAAAATGCTTACTCAATTCAGGAAAACTGTCAAAATCTGCCTAAGTATAAAGGAATGCCACTTTGAAGCTCTATTCCAGGAAGATGATTTCGAATCAAGACATTATCTTCATACTCCATGAAAGTATGTATGTTTATAAACATAAGCAAGACATTGTCTAAAGAAATGGATGCCTGGAAGGGGCTGAGCGAAGAGCCCAAAGATGCTATGGAACCTGTTTTGGGAGCCAGCTTACTTGTTCTAGAAGAAAGAGAAGCTTGAACGAGTTTGGATTCCTTTTCCAGTTTGGATTCTTACCTTAGATGTAATATAGTTTAATTATGTTTCCTTGTTCGTTTTGTAGTTGAATTAGGTTTAAGTTTGTCTATTTAAGGTCTAGAAACTCTATTGTAAAGGTAGACGTTTTAATCAAGAACCTTTGTTCATAGAGTTTTCGTGCTCTTGGTTTGACCTTGTTGAGTTTATTAAATTCTAGCAACGAGCGAGCTCAACATCGATTGATTCACCACATCAATCGAGGACGAGTTGCTACCTTATTTGGATCGAGCCTCTTCCCTAGATTGGTGTTGAAGTTGCATCTTCCAACCATATCTTGTTACTATGTTTTCTACATAAAATTCGGTTTTCAAATAACCAGCTTGAGTACTCGAGAACCTTTCAAGCTCCGATCAACAAGCCTTGAAGTTTAGGGCTTATCAAGTGGTATCATGAGCCCGGTTCAACTCAGCGGCGAGTGTGACAACTTCACGCGGTGGCGAGGACGACAAATTCTTCAACGGAAGGCGACGCCCGAACTGAGAGGTGGACCAGATACAACGCCTCTAGGTATCTGGATAGGGAAAGAAAGATGATTCTTTTCTTTCAATTTGGTGACTATAGCAAAACCCGGAAGGTGCTTCTTGCGACGTACGAATTCACCGATTATGCCGCACAATGGTGGGAGTGGACCCTTGCCTCTCCCCCTTGACCGATTACCCTTGACTGATATAGAATGTACTAACTTATATCTATTAAAAACTCAAATAGTCAAATTCCATAAAAATATTACCAATCTCAAGATCCACCCATCATCCCCTTGCCTCTCCCTGCCTCTCTCTTCTTCTCTCTCTTTAACGATCAAACCCTTGATTTTGTAGAGCCCGTTTTGGAGCCCGACTTTGGTCGAACCTAGTCCAACCAGTCGGCTCGTAGACTTAGAGTTGTCACAACTTTGGTTATAACACTTGTGAATAACCATTCACAACTTGTCTATTTAATGATGTAGTCAGTTAGTTGCCTATGATTGAAAATAAAATTGACATAACAAAAAAAAAAAGAGTTTGTCTGAAAAAGCGTCGCATCAATAGAAACTCATGATGATAACCTTTAGTCAATATTTATTTATTTTGCTTGAGAAACAATACACATATATAGCAATATCTAAACCTTTAAGTATTCTGCACAATACAATAACAAAATTAGTAAGAAAATAACATTTTCCATTCATACTCTATGCAATGAAAAAAGTATTTATCAACCAAGATACTCTAAATTGAGCTGAATTATTCATTCAACATAAAAATTAAACATATTTCGTGATACCTACCTTGCTAATGCACATGACCCCATCAACGCGTCCATGAAAACTCCAGTCCGACTTTCATGATTTGTCTTGTACTGCGTTATTTCATATTAAACTAAGTAACTATTAATGATACATCTAGTCAATTACTCTATTGAAAATCATCTATAAAAATTGGTATTCATAAATTGTGTTCTCTTAAACTCACCCATTTTTCCAATCATGTCATATTATCATGAAATTTAGGATTTAACAATTAACCAAACTAAAACTTTCAAAAAACTGGTCACTTACAGTTTGCATGACAATATCGTTGCTTTAATAGTTCTAAAAATTAATACGAATTTAAGAATTCTACATCACATCTACACACTCAATACTGCAATTAAATATACAATATTCGAATCAATGATATTTGGGTTGTAATTTTAAAATTATTCTCCATTTATAAGAGGACATAAATTAAATTTACTATTAAACTCAAATTAAAATAATCAAAATATAAAAATTAAAATATCAAATAACAAAGAAAGTACTTTCGGGAGAGTTAGTGGGCTAGCTAACAATAGTGGAAAAATCATATAATTTTTCGATTTTTGGTTTTCAGATTTTGTATTTAAATAGATACTGAATATTTCTTTAGTGTAATTGGTAATGGTTGCTATCTTTGTTGGGAAATATCATGGTTTGAATCCCGGGATTGATGTTTTTTTCCTCTTATGAATGAAAAATAAATAATGATTGTGAAGACACAATTACCCTTCCTACTTTCGCTCTCATTGCAGAAAATTCGAAATGCTGAAAAACTGGCCCAACTATACTATAATATATTTGTAGATTAGTATAGTTGGTATCTAATAGCTTGTATAAGTATTGTATAGGTAGATTTTGTCTACGCATAATCTATCATTTTGTGTCCTTTTCGATTGGATGATATTTAGATTAATTATGAGTTTAATAAAAGAAAATTGATGGTCCTTAAAAAAATTCATAATGTGTATGATTTAGATCTAAATTTAATGAGCAAAAATTATGTATTGAAACCATATATCAATGAAAACGAAAGATCTCGTTGAAGTTGTCAAGAACCAGTTGATCCCAATAACTCGAGTTGTTGGGAGAGGTCCCACATAGTGGATCATATCATATATCATGTACTATCACATCTCCTCAAACAAGACCCATCATATATGGGCTCTGATACCATGTCAAGAACCACTTAATCCCAATAACTTGAATTGTTGGAAGATGTTCCATAGTGAATCATATACCATGTACTAACATATAGAGGTGGTAAATGGTTAATTGATGCGATTAATGATTAACTGAAGACCGCTAATTTCTTTGTGATCGGTTTCGGTTAGCTGTATTTTGCTTAGTGGTTAATCGCTAACCGACTAATCGGTTAGTGGCTAACCGCTTAATAACCGATAATCGCCTACTAGTATAATATAATCACATAGTTTTCGTCTTTAACTAAGGGTAAAAGTCTCAAGATTCAAAACCAACCAAAGTTACAATTCTAGACATCTTAATTTTCACTTATTTCAAACAACCCTCCATCCAAAGTCTTAAATGTGTTTAATAGTCGGAACCCAAGTAGTCTTTGTTTCTTTGATGCTTGTGGATGACGAAGGTCTTGTGGGTTCATGTGTTTGATGTCTTGGTAGTTGGTATTAACAAATTAGATATAGTCGTTTGATTATTTTTGAGTTTATGTTTTGGTGTTTGGATATGGACAATGAATTCACGATAGATGTTGTGTTGATGTTATTTCTTGTCATTGGTAGAAGTGTCGTTAAATTGTTTTACAGGTGGTTAGGATTAAAAGACACTCGTTAAACTTAATCGGATGATGTAGTACAAGTGATAATTTTTTTGCTTTATTATATTTCTTAAAAGAAAATAGAAGTTATTGGTTTGATATACGGGTTGATTAGGTTTATTCGTACTTGTTGGAACGTATGATAGTGATTAGTGGTTAACTGCCTAACTAACCACTAACCAAACTGATAATAAACAGTTAAACAATAATACTTGTCAATTTGGTTATCGATATGAGTTTTTTCTTATTAGTTAACCGCTAACCGACAACCGCCATATCAATTAGTGGTTAACCGAAACCAAACCTATCACCAACCCTAATAGAAGCATCAAACTTACTTTTTCCGAACTTAACATTATCGTACGATTGTAATGAAAAGGACCACAATCGAGAATATCTTAATTGTACAAATGGAAACCATGATTGAACTCAATTTGTTCACGCTGCTCAAAGAAGTTCAGTTCAACCAAAGACAAGGATAATAATAGGAGTTGAAAGTTCGGATAACTATTCACCAAGATGGTCAGAAAACGGAATAAACGTGTCCCTATTGGCCTATTCCTATCCACTGAAACAACGTTAGCGTAATGTTCTCTATGGTAAACGCAGTAAATAAACGTTGTTAATTATAAACAAAAAAAGTAAAAACCCTCCCGCAGTAAAATCTTATGACTGGAGACGGAGGGGCATTTGCGTAACTTAGAGACAAGTTGGGGCAGTTACGCTACGGCACCTTTCCAGGAAGGGCACATTAGCATATTCCTAAATCCCTAATCTTAATCCTCCATTGGACCCTCCGAATTCTCGCTGTGGTGGGCCCGGATTTCGAAGGGAGTGGCAACCCCGAGTGTGCCAATAAACATACGCCACGTGTTGGGCCTCCAGAATTGAACGGACCAAGATCGTCCCACCGGCCATCACAACTCCAAAGTCTCCCCGACTCCCCCGCCTGCTCTAAATCTAATGGCAACAATGGCACGTCAATGAGAAAAAGCCAGAAAACAAAGCAGACGTAGCAGCTTGCAGTTGCAAGAAGCGGCGACGCGTAATATTCGGCCTGATCCAGGCTCTCCCCTTCCCCCTTCAAATCCTTCCCCCCTTTCCTCCTTTCCATCCTGCATTCTTTCCCAAGGTGCGTTCAGCTCTCTCCCCTCTCTCTCTCTCTCTCTCTCTCTCTCTCTCTCTCGTTTCGATTAGTTTTGAGGGTTTCGCAATTCTTTTTTTTATGATCTACTGTTACATCGATCGGGATCTTCAATTTTGGTGTTTGCCTTTCTCTAATTATATCGAAATTCTGAAGCTTTCCGTTTAGTGGTTTACCGCTATTTCTCTGATTCTCCATCCCGTCTAACAACTCCCCATTACTTGTGTGTATTTCGTAGTTCCCGGCGAAGCTTATTTATTTTCTCTATGTTTTAGATATTAGTAGTAAGTTTGATGACTGAATTGAGTTTGTGGGCTGAATTATGCGTTAGATTTTCCCAAAGATTCGTTTGCTGTCAAAGTTTAGGAATTTCTTGGCGTCTTGGCAAAGGGTTTGTGTTTTTGCAATTTCGTCTTTCTGGGTTTCCTGGATTATTATTTGGGTTTTGTTTTCCCTGGATAGGATGTCTTATGGTCTGTGATTTCCCCCTGATGTTAACTTCCTCTTTGTGACGTTTTAGATTCGGACGCACTGACCTTCATGAATTCAACAACCGCTGGAGCATCCACAGTTTCCTGCAGATCGGGAAACAACAGCAACGGCAACACCTTGTTCTTCTGGATTCTTTTCTGCTTGTTGCCAAAGTTCCTAGGCACTCCTATCGTCTACGTTAGCTTCCTTTTGATTAAGGCCATTGACAAGTGCTCTGGAGATATCACGCCTTAGTTTCCCGTCCTTCTGAGCCATCTGCAGTTGGCATCCCCTATAGTAGCTGACATCCCAAGCCATCTGCAGTTGGCTTATTACTATTCCCTTGTTAAAAGAACTTAAGAAGCATGGTTTCCTCAACTCTACCTGGTTTGTCCAGGGGGGCTAGGCCCCAAGTATACAAACCACTGCAGAGCAAGTTGTTGTTTCCTGTGAACCCTCCGGATGCTGTTGTCACCGACCACTTGGAGCTAGACTTCGCGGATGTCTTTGGCCCTTTGCCAGTGCAGCAGGCATCACTCGAATCCTCCAACTGTGCTGATTTTGCTAAATCTGATGCAGCGGAACTTGTCTATGACGATCCTGTTGTCATTCACAACCGTTCGCATTCATTGGTTGGCCCTTCTTCTTATGTCAGCCAATCGCTGAAGCTCAACAAACTCACTCTGCATGAGACGGAGGGCTCTGAGGTACTTGTGGAGTGTCTGCAGGAAGAAACCATTAAGGAGCTCCAGGAATCATCCGATGATGATATTGTTGTTGACAGTGCTGTCAGTGCGGGGTCCATGAATGGCCGCACTGTAGGCATTGAAGATTTTGAGGTTTTGAAGGTTGTTGGCCAGGGTGCATTTGGGAAAGTTTTCCAGGTTAGGAAAATAGGTACTTCTGAAATCTATGCGATGAAGGTTATGAGGAAGGACAAGATAGTGGAGAAGAATCAGGTTGAGTACATGAAAGCCGAGAGGGATATTCTCACAAAAGTTGACCATCCCTTCATTGTCCAACTCAAGTACTCTTTCCAGGTAGTCTATATCTTGATCACATAATTCGACAAGTTTGGTGTTTTTCTTCGTATTGTTGTCTTCTTACATTTAATTTATGCTCAGTAGAACGCTATTAACTTGCCTTGTCTTGCAGACCAAATATAGGCTGTACCTTGTCTTAGATTTCATAAATGGAGGGCACCTGTTCTTTCAGCTTTATCACCAAGGGCTTTTCAGGTATATGTATACACGTGTGTGTTTTCCATTCTAGATTTTATAGGAGAGTCATAAGCTTTAGTTGGTGGGTGTAGCTGATCTTTTGCTTTCGTTTGTCATGCAGAGAGGATTTGGCCCGTATTTATGCCGCTGAAATTGTTTCTGCTGTGTCTCACCTCCATGCAAATGGAATAATGCATAGGGATCTGAAACCTGAGAATATCCTAGTTGATGAAGAGGGGCATGTATGTCTCTCTGTTTCTTTTTCTGTGACTACATTGGTTCATGCTTGATTAGGTGAAATTGAGGAGATATCGTTGCAAACAGCCTGACATGTTTGTTTACTTCTATTATTCAAGGTCATGTTGACTGATTTTGGGCTGGCGAAGGAATTTGACGATAATACTAGATCAAACTCAATGTGTGGAACAGTTGAATATATGGCACCTGAAATTGTTCAAGGGAAGGGCCATGATAAGGCTGCTGATTGGTGGAGTGTTGGCATTTTGTTGTACGAAATGCTGACTGGAAAGGTTAGCTTTCCTCTATGATCTCTATTTCCTGTTTGTTGAGGGGTGGCCGGGACCTGGTTGTGGATAAATATTTAGATCGATGTATGACTTTCTCATTGAAAAACTAGGTTATTTTGTTATTTCTAGCTCTAGATGTTACACTGGCTCACAATTTTACTATCGTGCAGCCCCCTTTCATTGGCGGGAACAGACAGAAAATTCAGATAAAGATAGTCAAGGATAAGATGAAGTTGCCAGCATTCTTGTCAAGTGAAGCACATAGTCTACTTAAAGGGGTGAGTCTCTTTAGGTCAAGCTGGATTCTTTTGTAAATGTACAGGAACCTGTTCTGTTACTCTGCATAGGGTAGTACTGATGGGCTTTGATTCTGTGCTGCTCTTCAGCTGCTACAGAAGGAATCCTGCAGGCGGCTAGGATGTGGAGCTAAGGGCAGCCAAGAAATCAAAGATCACAAATGGTTCAAGTCAATCAATTGGAAGAAGCTGGATGCAAGAGAAGTCGAGCCAAGCTTCAGGCCAAACGTAGCTGGGAAGCACTGCACTGCCAACTTTGAGAAGAAATGGACCGACATGCCATTATCCGACTCGCCAGCTGCTAGTCCCAAGATCACTGTTGCAAACCCCTTTGGCGACTTTACTTATGTGAGGCCTGCTGGCTCTTACCTTCAGCAGGGCAGCCTCTTATATTAATTAGCATGACGGCTTATGTTAAACCCACTGGCGATTACTCTTCTCTAGTTTCACGAATCGTGAATGTTAACAGGTTTCTATCTGTGGACATGCCAAGTAGTTTTTTTGTACTTCACCAGAAAAAGCTTTACTGCTTTAGTGATGGCTAATGAAACAAGGGCCTATCTCTTGACTTGTAATTTGACTATGGTTTTGAAGTGAATTTCCGGTGTCCTCATTTGGCTTTGCAGTAATTATGTTCATTGCATCTTGGTTCTGGTATGTGCCATTAACGTATGATAATTGAGAATAGATGACAGAAGGCGTTGGGCTCTGGCCCATGGCAGCACAAGGATGCTAGCTCAGCCCAGCGCCATGATAATCTTTGTCCACAATATTCGACGGGTTCTGGGCAAGACACGCGTCACAAAAGAATTATCCTTTGTTTGAACTTTTCGCCGTTCAGGGAGCTCAGAAATTGAACTAATGAGCTCGTAAGAGCTCTGCTCTCTCTGTAGTCTGTACTCTTTCCCTCAACATGGCTTCTCTGCTGTTCCCAAATGTTGCAACCCTTCAACTCAAAAGCAAAGTTACTTGCTTTGCTCCTGTTAGTCCCGCTCCCTATAGTCTCAGTATCAGAAGAAGTAACCATAGCGGCGGCAGGTGCTTTGCATTTTCAGGCCCGGACGATTTACTCGACAGCGCCCTTCTCAATCTTGACAACTTCCCTACTGTTCAAGCTGGATTAGTTCAATTCCAGAGCGCCACGGAGGAATTTTCCGATTCGCAGAAATGGGGATTCCTGTTTTTCGCTGGGATAACTTGGGTTTACTTAACCGCCAGACCCGGCGTTCTCGTCGGCGCGATTGATGCATACCTTCTTGCTCCTCTTCAACAGGCATTCGACAGCTTGATTGGAAGGAGAAGCCTGAAAAGGACCGATTTCCTGCTTGGCGAAAAAATCGGGGAAGGGAGCTTCGGCATTGTTTATTCGGGAGTGATTCTTCCCAAGAGTTCTGCCAATATTGCAGCAGTAGAAGATCAGGGTAGGGTTCCCAAAAGAGGGAGAAGGAAATCACCGCAGTTGGACACCAAGTTCAAAGATAAGGTCATTCTCAAGAAGGTAAAACCCTGTTTTATCTTTTGCTTCTGTTAACTTTGATTCTGAATTTTTTGGAACGAGTAGTAATATGTTCAAGTGTAAACGCCCAGGTGAAGATTGGAGTCCAGGGCGCTGAGCAATTCGGCGAATTCGAGGAATGGTTTAACTACAGACTGGCCAGAGCAGCTCCTGAGACATGCGCTGAATTCCTAGGAAGTTTTGTTGCCGACAAAACAACCTCGCAGTTCGCCAAAGGTGGGAAATGGCTCGTTTGGAAGTTCGAGGTAACTCAGCAAATCACCCTTTCGACCATTCTCCAATGCTTTCGCTCTTTTATCTTATGATCCTAATGGTGTGTGACAGGGCGATTCTACACTGGCAGATTACATGAAAGATCGTAGCTTCCCATTTAACTTAGAGTCACCCATGTTTGGTCGTGTCCTGCAAGGAGCAGATTCTGTTCAGCGGAATGCCTTGATTGTGAAGCAAGTAATGCGGCAGATCATTACTTCACTCCGGAAAATCCATGACAATGGGATAGTGCATAGGGACGTCAAGCCTCCTAACTTGGTCGTCACAAAGAAGGGGCAGATCAAGCTCATAGATTTCGGGGCAGCCACTGATCTCAGGATAGGCAAGAATTTCATCCCTAAGGTCGGTCTCCTCGATCCTGATTACTGCCCGCCCGAACAATATGTGCTCCCCGATGACACCCCGAGCCCTCCACCTGAGCCCATTGCAGCCTTGCTTTCTCCCTTCTTGTGGCAGGTAAACAAGAGGTTGATTTCATCCTTCACTTACTCTCTCTCTACAATGTCTCATTGCTGAAATGAAAGCTTCTTGCGAATGTTCTGGTGAATGCAGCTGAATAGTCCTGATCTATTCGATATGTACTCTGCTGGAATTGTGTTACTGCAAATGGCTATACCAAGCTTGCGGTCAACAGCAGGGTTGAAGAATTTTAATTTGGAGATAAAGAATGCTAACTACGATTTGGATAGATGGCGGAAATCGACTCGATTGAGGCCTGACTTGACGATTCTGGACCTTGACTCGGGTAGAGGATGGGATTTAGCTACTAAACTGATTTCAGAGAGAGGGTATCTTAGAAGGGGCCGTCTATCAGCTGCTGCTGCTCTCAGGCATCCTTATTTCTTACTGGGCGGAGATCAAGCAGCTGCAGTTCTCTCAAAGCTCAGCTTCACCAAATAGCTACTGGGATTCCCTTTGGACAATGTGAGTTCATAAGCGCGTCCCAGAGTTTTGATTCATTTTATACAACAAACTGTGAAAATTTTAACACCCTCCATATAGTACATATATGATAATAGATGGCACATAAGTAATTTCTGTTTCTCTACAACTCATCGTGGTAGAGGATTGTGTCGAGGGCGGTCTTCTTCTTGCAGCCCCATTTGCATTTCCAGGAACAGAGTGAATTGAAGATTGCAATTCGTGTGGAATGTAGCGAGATCATGTTCGATGCAGAGGGAGACTTGGACAGAACGATGGCATAACCATCATCCATGTAATCAGTCCCTTCTGGGAACAGCTGCCACATGAGGCTTCCAGCTCCACTCCCACCCCTTTTTGTCGAGTTCAAGAGGGTCTTGTACACTGTGCTGTAGAGGTTGTCTCGAAATGTTGAGTTATAGCCTTGGTCTTTTACAGACACTCCAAACTCCGTGAAAACGACAGGCATTCCCAGGTACTTCTCTGCATCATCGATGTGGGATTCCATCCAGGATTTGGTGAATTGAACGTGAGCATCGGTGATGGTTTGTGATATCCTTAGTTATTGACGACAATGAGGCAAAGGTGAGTAATCAAAATCGAAAATTCTGCATCTAGGACCAAAGTGAGGGCACCTGTGCAAATTACCCACAGAAATGCAAGGTCGTCGAGGTCTTACCAGGAGTCTGCGTACATGTGTACAGAAGCGAAATCAACGCCAAGAACCATATGGTTTCTGATGAAATCAGTTCCAACTTGTGTGGCATATGTGTTTGGGTTGAATTGTGCCTTGTCAGGTGTGGAAGGACCATAGAATCCTTCCAACCCGATCTCCACTAAATGTTTGGGGTCCATGCTCTTCACGTACACCGCCATTTCTTGTATCCATGACTGCTCACAAGTAAACCAAGTGACATTCAGTTTTTTGCCAAAAATTGTTGCTCTCGCGTTCTTGTGTGATTGAAACTAACCTGAAGCTTGTCGCCGGAGGGATCAGAGGTGCAGCGAGGCTCGTTCATCAACTCCCAGGCAAAGATTGTCGGGTCTTCCTTGTAAGTCACGTTAGTGACGGTGTTCACTCTGTTGAGCACCGTCTACACAGAACCAAGCGCAAAGAACTACAACAGTTGTGCAGCGGCTGCCATTGAAAACTCAGATGAATAAGGTGAAAAAGTGTGTTACTTTATACCTTGACGTGAGCCTTGTAATAGGTTCTGAGAGCTGGGTGGGAGAAGAAATCGTCATCGGAGGTTAGATTGAGGCCTGCCTCCTTCCCCCACTTCACGTATTGAGCTTTCCCGCCATAGGCATCCCAGTTGTTGGACAGAGACAGTATCAGTCTGATCTTGTACTTCTTTGCTTCACTTACCACAAAGTCCAACGCCTTGAAAACGTCTTCGTCGTAGACACCGGGAGACTTCTGAAGGGCACGCCACTGACCGTCGTTGAAAGCCCATGTTCTGCAGACGGTGAGGCCTACCGAGGAAGCTTGCTGGAAGAGCTGGGATACCTTGGGCCTGGTGGATTGATCAGCAGCGAGTACCATGAGCCAGTAGGTGTTGAAGCCATTGACGTAGAATGGTTGGCCGTTCAGGACGAACTGATTCCCTTTTCTTCCCACCATCTCCCATCCTTCATCATCATCAACCAATTCCATGCTGTCATGAGATTGAACAAAACTTGTAGTGACAGTGATCAGAAGGATCATCAAAGCGAGCAGCATTTGAAGCGACGAGCAAGTGAGTCGAAATCTGTCGCCCATGGTGAGTGATTGAAGTGATTAGCAGATTGACACCGAGTGGATGCTGGCATTGATGAGCATATATAACTCCCATTTGGAACATCGCCCATATGTGTATGAATCGTGTAAAGAACAGAATGGGGTAGAGTGGAACGTGGAATACAAGAGAAGGGAAGATGGGAATGAGAAATTTTGAGAAGGGTGTATGGCTTTGAAGCCAAGTTATAGGGTGTTTTTCTACTTTACCTTCCTCCTAGGGCTCTTGTTTTTCAATCGTGGGAGCAAAGAAAGGAAAGGACGTCCGAGGAATAGGAGGAGTAGGTGGGTTGGCTCTATTTGTGTTGTGAGTGCAAGTGTAAGCAAAGTAATGTGCTGCCTCTAGCAGCAAGGGTTCAAAATTTCGAATTTTGGTAGGAGGGCGAACAAGGAGGTGTCGGTAAGTCGGTCAGAGATTACACCATTCGTCATATTTTGTGTGATCTCAATCGACTACTTAGTAATCATGCGTAATGGATAATTGAAATCATGTGGACTATGATTCAATGACATCAGTATGATGCATATACTTCTCATGTATATCGGACGATGAGGAAAATGATTATGTGCATAACATCACAGTGCTAGACGTAATGAATCTTCATTTGTGTAGGTGACCGGGGGAGAAAGCAACCCAAGAAATTAAAAATACCTTGCAGATGTATAAATGTGTACAGAACACTTGTATGGAATTCATGTGTACATAGTAAGATTGGGATGGGGGTTGAGGTGTCATTGTTGTGAATAGAACTTGCATTTCCACCCCCCATTGATTGATTGATCATGATCATCCAACCACATCCAACTCAGGAAAGAATTGTCTATTTACTCGGCTGTAATTTGTGGAGAACGGCTGAAAGAGTAGCGAGGTAGAGGAAGAAGTTGAGAAGCAGAAGAAACTGAGGAGTGAGGATAGATGGTAAATCACAACTACATATTCAAGTTTGCTTAGCGTGGCAGTTCAAAATTTATTTTATTTCTACGGAGAAGCTTGTTTTCCTTTTGATTTCTTTCTTTTATATTTGACTTTATCAAAGATTCCAGGTTAAATATTGTTTTTATCAGAAAGTTCACTTGCATTACCAAGAGAAATAGATAACAATGTTTACAAACCACATAAACCAAACTCGAAACTCAAACCTACAAAACCCGCATGAAACAAAGAAAGAACATTTTTTGGCTACCAAATGAGCCGCTCGATTGTTTTAATAATTAACGGAGTTGACAATTCTCTTCTAAGATAGCTCCACCCCTCCCATCCCATGTCTTGCGATCCTTGATTTTGAGACTAATAACTTGAGCAACCTTGCATTTTTTTTAAGTAGACGGACTGGTTAGGACTCAAAATCAATTGGGCGGTTCGAGCAGGTCGACCTGTTAACCATTCCGGCCGCTAAAAAACCGCCCTTCCCAGCTGCTACGGTTATTTGAGTGCACCGAACCGAACTGGCGGCCTAGTGCTGGTTTTACAGTTCTGATCGATCGACCCGACTCAGTTTTAATAATACTGCATCATGATATGACGGTTATATGATTGATATTATCACTCTATCATAATGATAATATAATGATAAGATCACTAACAGACCGTTTGGTACCAAATGAATCGAGAATTCATTTCATTGTAAAATGAATTACCATGTAATTTGCTCTGGGACCCTCTCGGTTCGCAGTGCCAGTCTGAGCTGCAACAACTGCTGGATTTTCTGGTGGTTGTGCTTCCAACCTGGTGATTAGGGTATCCAGCCGCTGATACGTCTCAACCAGCTGAGCTTTGGTATCATCCTATTGAGCCTGAAACCAGGCTCCAATCTGCGACATCTGTGTGGCGAGCAACGTCAAAGCTTCTGCAAGTTCCTGACTCTGATCTCCCATTGCTTGTTCTTCGCTTGGGGTTTCTTCTTCAGAGAGCGATTTTTCCCCTTCTCTACGTTCTGCAATAAGATCTTTGGACATTGTTCAAGAAGCAACATGGCCTCTCACCTTCGATCTCGCCACTGTGTTGAACCGGGGCTCTTCTACCACTTGAGACGAGCACGAATCATGTACCCGTAGTTATCAAAGCACACAACTTCAAGAACGAACAAGAAAATGGATATTTAGGGGTTTTGTTAGTTTGGGGATAGAATGGAATTGGAAGTGCAATCTCAACACAAATCGGGAGAAGGTTCGATCAATATATCAAGTAGATTCTCGACCACAATCAAGGAGAAAACTTGATTGATACAGAGAAAAGTTCAAGTTTAAAGCTCAAAACCAAGATAAAGGTTCAATATTCTTCAAAGTCTGCTAAAATTCATGTCTTCAGCCCTTTATATAGTCTAGGGAAAGTAAAAAAATCAAAAAACAGAAAGGAAACAAAAGTCTAAACTGAAAAAGGGATTTGACTCTCTTCGAATACCATGATTTAAATCTCGACTAGAGACCAAGTATAAACTCTATCCAGGTGCAGTATAGAGCAAGTATTTAAATGTCAAACCCGCGCCGGTCCATGTACCCCTACTTCAACCAGTTGAAACATTATCTAGAAATCGATTTTTGGTTAAAACTATGGATTGCAATTAAAAGAAATTGGAAAGATAAATGGTTTTGAACACTAATTGAGAAGGCTTCACCCGGGTGTTGCTCCCCCTCGATAGGTGTCAGATTAGTCGAAACGAATTCAAGTGTATGGTAAAGGTGGTTGTGAACTGTAGGAGAGCACAAGAAGTGAAGAAGCTTCACTCTCTCGGTCGATAGGCCAAGGGATATTAAATCAAGCTAACGTAGTAGCTCTCTTGGCCAATCGACTAAGGGTTGTCAAGGCTTCTCCCTTGAACCTTAGTCTGAACGGCTTAAATACAACCTACCCAAGGTGCTAAAATGTAGTATGAGGTTTGCCCTAATTCGTCCTATGTAGGTGGCTCTGTTTGACCAAGGAATTCTAGCTTTTGAAAGCCTCCTAGCACTTTTCCTCTACCTATGTCAAATTGGCATAATAGTTGGAAATGGAAAATACAACACAACCTTCATGAAAATACCTCAATACTTGCAACCACACACAAATCATTCAATTCTTACAAAAAATCACATGATTCTAGCTAGGGTTCACAAACACCCAAGTGAAAGAAGGAAACTACTCCATGCTAAGACTAGGGAATACACAGAGGAGAAGAGAAAAAACCATCTCGAGATGTTCGCCTTCTTCCTTTGGTGTGGAGATCAAACTTGGAGCATGAGATTCCCATATCTTGGAGCTTGGATGAAACCCTAACTTTCTTCTCCTCTCTTGTTCGTCACTCTATCTCTAGAAATCTGAGGAAGAATAAGTTCTCTCACTAGGCTCTCTCCACTCTTCTTCTTTCAGCTCACTTTCCCTTTTTTACGGAGATCAATGGCTTTTCATTGTCCCAGTTAATGATCGTGAACCCAAAGCCTGGACAGTGATCCTGGACAAAAGCGCGTTGTTTCACTAAAGCTCTTCATGGTCTAGAGTAGATTATCACGGTTGAGTGACTGTGATTTCTCGTAAGCCCAGGTGGCTGAAAAACTTCCCCGGCGCTTGCACTCCACGGTCCTGGCCTCTTTATCACGGTTGGCCTGAACGTGAACTTCTAGCTTCCACCGTGATCCTCGGTTGTTTTCTCCCTTTGATATGTTTTCGACCCTTTTCGTCCAACTTTTGTTCCCGAGGTCGATTCCACCTGCTAGGATCTGGAACATACTAGAAACAAGCACAACCTAGCGTAAAATCGAACCTGGCGGACTGAAAATTCCTCAAACATCTAAGGACTATGGGGAGAAAATGTGTACAATTGGGCCTGAATCACTCCCCCATTAGACGTTTGCTTGTCCCCAACAAACCAATTTCAAACAAGGTAATATCTCACCTAACAAGATAACTTGGGGACATATCAAAAGCTCAAAGGGGATGAATCTCAATGGCTACTGGGCATCAATCACAAGAAATACCAGCATCCACCAAAAATGACATTCGAATGCATAAAGAACGTGCAAACAAAAAGTTCTCACACTGTTCATAGATAAACACAAGTCTCGACAAGACTACTCACCAACCACAATTAACCACAATAGAGATCAAGTCCAAGGAACAAAAGAATTGGCGAACTAGGTCCTCACCAGGATAAGATATGAACATGCAAAATGTGAATGAATCACTCACGCTCGACTAGTGGGGTCAGGAACATTTAATTCAAGAGATGCACATCATCAGCACTCAGCCCTATCGTCTCTTCACCACGACGGAAACCTCTAAATGTTAGAGCGCACTTTCTCGACTACACCTGCGATCCCATTTTCAAGCATAGTAGTGAAGGAGGTCAACAAACAAGTAGGTGCTTCAATAGCTTGAGTTCCAAGAAACACCTTTCTAGAGCATATACATAAACTTTTTGTGGCAACTCTCTATCTTTTATTTACCCCCTATTATTACATCTTTTTCAATTCTTTTTTCAATTTCTCTCTCTTTCTCTTTTCAATCTTTATTTTTCTCTTCTTTATTTTCTCGGGGGGGGGGGGGGGGGGGGGGGGGGGTATTAGAAAGCTAAACAAATGGCATGTTTACACTTAACGAATATTGCTCCCCATTAAAAACTTCATCCAACACTACCTTTTTATTCCTAGGAGGGACTGTGCAAGATCCACCTATGTTGAACCTCAATGGAGCTAAAAAATGAGAGCTCTGTGACACAAGGATGACTCACAACAGTTTTGACACGAATAAAGCAAAGGGTCGTTCTATCAATCCCATTAAGCTCAAAAAGTACAAGCTCCTAACATGAGAATGACCCAAAGTCACAAGAATCAAAAGGGGTTGCCTAGGGGATAAGATGCCTAGGGATAATCAGCTTTTTGGGCGTGGACTAATCCTATGCCTCCATACTCACTAATGACAACGTGAATGTTACTCGCCATGGTAAGAGGGATCTATCACACGTGAAAAAGACGATCGACACAAATCTCACATGGCTACCTAATAACCCAATTATCTTTTCCAATTTCACAAATTTTGAAGCATGGCAATTGCAACAAAGAGTAATCAAGTCAAGACATCCATTCAATTGCACAAATATGAGAACTAAATATTTGAACCAACCTAATGCAATTCTCAATCATCATAATAGGATGTACTCGATCGCATACAATCAATCCAAGGTCAATGCCAATAAACACAAGATTCTCCCACAACCGGCCACTTTGATCAAGCATTCACACACACACACACACACACACACACACAACACACACATGCACAAGCCAATCACAAATGATACACCCCCACACTTAAGTACGACATTGTTCTCAATGGAGAAAAATGGTAGGGTGAAGAAGTTACCAAATAATGGCAAGTGAAAGTTGGACATAGGCCGGAGTATGAGATTTTGAGCTTCAAAAAGAATAAGTAAACAAAAAAACACACGCACATTCTCGCTCGATGCGAGGTTATTACACAGAACAATATTCAACACCACAGCTTAAAAGAAGAAAAATCCACAAATGTACTTG